AAATGTGGTATTAGTAAAAAGTTCTGATATAGCATGGATTTCCAAAAGAACAAACAAATGTGTCTTGAATACAGAGTGTTTCTTTGAGGCAAAGATAAAGTTCTGTCTCACTTACTTGGGCACAATTTCAGAAGGAACTAGTCCTAAGAAAGAGAGACACTGTGCTAGAAAAAGCAGAAGATCCTTAATGATATGGAATGGCACAGTGCCTACTAAAATGGGCTTTAGCATTGTGAGGATGATAAAAGGCAGGGCAAGGTTCAGATCTGTTGTTTATAGGATCACTAAGTCTTAAGTCAATTGGACAGCAACTAACAACAACAGGTACTTGTTTGGATTGAATTGTGTCTTCAAAAAATGTGTAGTGTAAATCCTAGTATCTTTGCCTGTGGTCATACTCCTATTTTGGAAAGAGCTGTTAATTTATGTTAATCAGACAAGCTGAATATAGGGTATATTTTGGTCAATCTTTTTTGAGACATGACGATTACCTAGCAACAGAAGTTCAGAAGATACAGCATTTTCGTCTATAGTCAACAGAGAGAGAAAACCTTCTCCTAAAGTCAACACCTTGAATTCATACTCCTACCATCCTAAGCTAAACTGTAGGAAAATAAATCTGTTAAAGGTAAGCACTTGGGGTTATTTTATAGCAGCACTAGAAAATTAAGGTAACACACAACAGACATACTGAGTGAAAAAAAGTGGGACATAAAATTCGCTTATCATAATTCCACTTACGTACCGTGCTAAACCAAGCAAAACTAAACTACAGCACTTTATAAAAGGTGGAGAAAACATATATCTTGTTTTTACAGTGGTTATAGATGTGTATATTATTGTTAAAAACTAATTGAACAGAACCCTTAAAACGGTTTTATTATAGATTAGAAACCAGGAATAATAAGCCCAGCTAGTTAAGACAGTTACCCAAGGTAAACTGCAATTAGTCAATTAATGCAGAATCTGAAGTTAGGTAGTAATTTGATGAAAAAGATGTTTAAGAAACATCTGCCTGAGTTTTATATACTGTGTATTCGTTGGAGCTCTGGTGGCTTAGTGGTAAGGAACTGTGCTAACAACCCAAAGGCGTGTAGTTCAAATCTAATAACTGCTCCATGGGAAAGATGGGCAGCCAACTTCTGTAAGATTAACTGTCTGAAAATCCACTGGAGGGTCAGTAGCTATGGGTGAGTTCTGACTTGAAGGTAAATAAAAATATGTCTTGGTTTAGACTCTAAACTTTAGAAGGGGTATGATAATGGGAAAACTCTAATAACACAAAGAAATAAAGACAGAAGTTAATGTGATCCTGAACCTGAATGTCTTGGTTTAGACTCTAAACTTAGAAGGGGTATGATAATGGGAAAACTCTAATAACACAAAGAAATAAAGACAGAAGTTAATGTGATCCTGAACCTGAAGGAAAGGTAACAGTGATAGTAAACAAACAAAAAATTAAAGAGAAAGAGATATCAAAGGAAAAAAAATATCCTATAAGACTATAATATTCTATAAGACTATATGACTCTGAAGAATTGGATTTTAAACAGGATGGGATCGATGAGCTGGGAATTGGAAATATGGCATTAAGATAGGGGATGGCATACATTTAATTTTTGCCACAGAGATTGAAATCACATGAGGCTTCAATTAGCAGCAATTTAAAATAACACAGATGTGGAAGGAGTCAGTTATCAAGAGACAAGAGCTGAATAAAAAGTCACAAAAGAACCCTGCTGATAAAACTCATAATTTATACAGTAATTGACAGTTAACTGTTTTTCTACTTTATATCAACATATGTTGTTGTAAACTGTCTAGTTAGAACTGACTCACAGCTGACCCTTCAGTGGGGTTTCAGAGGGAGTTATCTACATATTTTTTTTTAGTGGGGTGTTCTGGTAGCTTAGTAGTAAGGAGTTCGCTGATAGCACAAAGGCTGGTTTGAAATTAACAGCTGCTCCATGACAGTAAATTGGGTCATCTCCCCCATGTGATTTACTGCCTCTGAAAACCCGCTGGAGGGTCAGCTATGAGTCAGTTCTAACTTGATAGACCCTAACAACAACAAATATATTTAATAAAACAAGAGAGAAAGATGGAGAGGTCTCTCTTTGAATACAAAACAGTATTGTGAGGAAGGGAAACCAACAAGTTTAGAGAATTACTAAATAAGATTAATTCAACTTTTCTAAGATCAGAAAGTTACACTAAGAATGTCGCTACTTAAAATGTGGTCTCAGACAAAACAGCAGCAACATTACCTGCAAATTTGTCAGAACAGATTCATCCTGGAAAGGGTTAAACCGGGTGGCTCCTTGGAGGCAAGGATTCTGAGGCTCCATCTAACATACTTTGGACATGTGAGGAGAGACTGGTCCTTGGAGAAGGACATCATGCTGGGTAGAGTGGAGGGACAGCGCAGGAGGGGAAGGCCCTCTATGAGGTGGATTGATTCAGTGACTGGGATAATCGGGATGGGAGTGTCAGAGACAGTGCAATTGGCACAGGACAGAGCAGAGTTTAGGGCTGTTGTACATAGTGTCGCTATGAGTCGCAAGCGACTCCACGGCACATAATAACAACATGTCAGAAGTGCAGAATGTGGGACTCCATCCCAATTCTACTGAACCTGAATGAACATTTTAAAAGTTCCCCATCTTGATTATAGTACTTCAGGAGGTTATGAAATCAATTTAGAATAGAATTGAAAATATCACAAATAGTAAGGTTAAGGCTTTTTGTGAATGTGCATCATGATCAAGAGGTAAAATGTGAAAATATGGGCTGAAATTAAATGAAGAAACTTCACAAAACTGCAAACACAAGAACGGCAATTAGTACTTCTTTAGCCTAAGGAGACATATATGTCGAAGAGATAAAAAACCCAAAAACTTGTTAACTGTTTTTCAAATATTGTTGACAGTGACCCAGTATATGAACCATAACATGCATACAAAATGAAAAGTGTTTCACAAAACCAATTACTTACACTTGTCTATACTCCTGTTATATTTGACTTTTATTCCTTCTCAAAAAAGGTTTTGTGATCAAAACTAATTAAACTGGCTGCAAAACTCTTTAATAGGTTAGTATTCAAATTTGGGGGGGGGAGCGATCTTTTACATGCTGCTTGCCTTTAATCCTTAACTAAGAGGTGGTTTGGGAGGGCCAGAGAAAGCAGGCTATTATATATAATGACTGGTGAAACAACGACGATAGACTTAGTATAAATTGAGATTAGAATGCATCAAATGTCAGTTTTGTCTCTCTCTAAAGGTACAAGTTGTGCACAGGGTCGCTGAGTCACAGGCGACAAAATGCCACATAACAACAAAAAAGGTACAAAAGAGCAGATGAAAATAATGAGAGTTGGAGGGAGGGGAATGAGAGATGAGAATCAGTGAAGAAGGAAATGAAGAAAAATCATTAAGAATTGGTGATGAAGCAACCACCTAAGTCAGGTGCTAGTTCCAAAAAGCAAGGTGACTAACCTGGCTCACGTTAGTTCAGGTTGCCCGGCTTAGTTCTGACTGAACATATTCCCAACTCTGGTTACTGTTAACAACAGTTGAGACACTACACCTTGCTAACCATCAGTAAAGATGGATGACCCTCGTTTCCCAGGCTAAACCTGTTGGACGGTGCTCGGAGACAGCCAATATTTGGGGCTGGGAAGAGAGTAGCCTGGTCAGGAAGAACCAAAGCAGGGTTTATACCAAAAACCAGAGTGAAAGTGGAGGGCAAACTGGTATCAAGCTTTCTCTAGGACCGCTTGAGTTTGGATACCGAGAAACCCGAACAAAGGGAGGCACTTTCTGGGTCCGGACACCGACTTTGCAAGAACGCAGGGTTGGCGGAGACCTCGCACACATCGCATGGGGCCGCCCCGGCTCGCAAAGGCCTCCCGGGTCCCCTTAATTCCCATCACCCTTCGCGCGAAGCCCAGGGGCTGTCAGCGCCCTCCGAGCTTGGAAAAGGCGTGGTTTTTCCCCTCCCTGCTTCTCCTGTAAGAGGCTCAGGGCCCAGCCTAGTACCCCAACGTCTTTCAAGGTTGGAGATGCTCCCACCTTCACTTTAATTAGCATCTTCTTCCCAGTTTAGGCCTGCGCACCGATAAACTCCCGCCTGTATTGCTGCGGTCGCTGCTGCACTCCCCAGCCTTTAGCCTGTGGGAAAGAGCTTCTGCTTCCGGGTCACCACTGTTTGGCTCCACCCCTTCTTTTACGATGATTTCCCCAAAGGTTTATGAATTCTCCGCGTCTCGTTTCAGAGGCTTAGTAAATTTTAAAAAAGGCAACTATCACCTCTACGATTCTGAACGTCCTTGCAGAGTCTGGGTTAGCGAAACTGAGGCGGAAACGAACTAAGTCTCCCAACATGCCAGAAAGTAATTCCGCCCATTTCACTCTGGGAGTTGTAGTCTCCTACGCCTCGACTCCAATGGCAACCGCGGAGTGTGGACTCTGTTTCCCAGAAGGTCTCGCAGGATCGCCACTGAAGCTAGAATTTTTCGGTTAGAGGTTCTCGCCTGCAATTAGCGGAATCTTATCGGCGAGGCGTAGAAGTCTCTGCAGGACTGCACGAGACCGGTGGCAAGCGAGAGGAGCTTCGGTCAACTGTCACCTGGACCACTGCAACAGGAAGTGGGTACCCGTGTTCTGAAAACCGTAATACCCCTATTCCTACTTGTAGCAAAGCTGTTTTACGCGATTTTCCTTTTTTGGGAGTTAGAAGAAGAAATAACAGCTAAGTTGGGAATTCACTGCCTTCAGGTTCCTTGACCTTTCCAATTCCTCCCCGCAAACAATACCAATAATCAGGAGAATGATTGCAGCTAAGGTGACAGGCTTCAGGAACCACATCTTGATCGGAGAGTTACCACAATTGAAACATGGAGAGAGATGAGCACTGCCCCAGCCCGAATAGGCCATTAAGGCCTAAGGCGAAATTGGTTCCATTTCCTTTTCCTGACTCTTTGTATCTTCCATCCTTCAGACTCATCGCTACCTCGAGACCCCCACCATGCCTCACATCGATAATGATGTGAAACTGGACTTTAAGGATGTCTTGCTGAGGCCCAAGCGTAGCACCCTTAAGTCTCGAAGTGAGGTGAGCCTGTTTCTCTGTTTGCTACTTCTTGGCCCCAAACTTATGGTGGGTCAGGATGGAGAAAGGGTTCTGACTCTTGTTCTCATGCAATGTATAAATTTTGGCTGAATAAAAATTCCCAGGTTTCCTTTTGTTATGTGTAGGTGGATCTCACAAGGTCCTTTTTATTTCGGAACTCAAACCAGACATACACAGGGATCCCCATCATTGCTGCTAATATGGATACTGTGGGCACCTTTGAGATGGCCAGGGCTCTTTGTAAGGTAAGACTTAACTCAGCGATGTCTAGTTTTCTTGACTGCAGGTGTTTGCATCCACACCTCCACCTTAGTCATCTGTCCTGCCCTAGGCAATCATGATGCTAATTATATTCTTTAGTACTGTAGGAGCTTTAGTGATGGTGCCGACTGAAAGGTCTTTGATTCAAATCCACTGGCTGCTCACAGATAGGAAGATGAACTGTCACTTCTCATAAAGATTTATAGCCTTGGAAACCTGATGGGGTTCAGTATATGTTGGAATCTACTCAACAACAGTAAGTTAGTACTAAAATCCCTTTATCTGACAGGTTCAAAGGCGATGTGAAAGAAGTCCTGGTACTAAAATGGTTAGGCCTTTGGCTACTAAACAAAAAGATTGGCAGTTTGAACCCACACAGCTGCTCTTAGGGAGAAAGACCTGGTGATATGCTTTTGTAAAAATTACAGCCCAGAAAATCCTATTGGATAGTTCTGCTTTGTTACATGTGGGCCCCTGTGAGTTAAAATTGACAGTGGCACCCCTAATGCATATCCCAATATGCAAAGAAATTTAAGAATTTCTGCAAAAGAAATGAGACTTAACTACAACAATGTAAATTTATGAAATTCAAAGCTAAGATTTTTTCATTTTTTCTGATAAATGAACAGAGCTTTCCCTTTTGCCCTACCCAGCAGTTTATACACCCTACCAGTTTTTCCTCCTACCTGGGCTATTTCCTGCAATAACATGCATCCTTCCACTTAGATCATTGTTTAGTACATAGTTACTGTTTCAGTCTAGAAACTAAGTGTAGTTTGACCATTTAAAAATTCCACACTAGAACATCTGAGAAACATTATATATTGTTTTTATGCCTGCTATCCATTCCCTTCACCCTCTTAGGTTCCTTCAGATTTCAGTGATACACTCCAAATGCAGTCTGTTTTTCTTATATACAGGTTGTTGTTCACTTTCACAGTGAAAGATGCTGCTTCTATCCATTTATTACCTGGCTCTCTACCTGTAGCTGAGAAGATAGTTAGTTACCTGGACACTCTGAAAACTTATATACACTGCTGGTTAGTCTATATAGCACTGGTTGGTGTATTCTGCTCACTTGTGACTCTTAACCTTGAAGATGTCATCTTTTTCACTAGTTTTGATTGCTGTCATTGTGTAATGTCTGCTGTCATTTTCTGAGATAGTTATGCAATTTTGTTCTGTGTTCATTTACTAACTGCTTAGGAATCCTGCTTTTGCTGATGGTCTGCCCACTCTGTTCAATAGTTAGGAGTTAATGCATTTTACTTCAGTGCTAAGAGATATGCTGTAATACTTGGACCTTGTGGACTCTTGTCTCATTGATCTTAATTTGACAATGGTTTTTCAGAATTGCTAACAAATGATAAATGTTTTTATTCTCACAGTGGTAATTTAAAAAGGTTGATGTAAACAAGCATGTTTTCCTAGATCTCTAGCTTGATAAGGGAGGTTTGGTGGTGTAGTCTGTAGGGAGTTATGCTGCTAATCCAAATGCCATGCTTCTCTGATGTTTTGAATCCAGCAGTTCTGAGAGAAAGGTGGAAAAATCTCTTCCCATGCAATTTACAGGCTTAGAAACCCAATGGATGTAAGTTATGAGTCAGTTCTGACTCGAAGGCAGTGAATTATCTAGCTTGGTGTGTGTTCATCATGCCAGTCTATCTCTAGAAAATTCTGTTGACCTGCTAGGATGAGGGAGCTCTGGTGACCTAGTGGTAACAAACTGCACTGTAATTCTGAAGGAATACAGTTTACATCCACCAGCTGCTCCATGGAGGATGGGCAGTCTCCTCCCTTGCAATTAACTGCCTCAGAGAACCTGCTGGAGGGTCAGCTGTGGGTCAGTTCTGACTTGATGGTACACAAAATCAACAACTAGGATGATTTTTCTTAGTTTTCTCGTATTTTAATAGAAACTCTGGTGGCATAGCTAAAGGCAGAAAGATGGGTAAATTCCTTCCATGTGATTTATAGCCTTGAAAACCCAACACAGGGGCAGCTATGAGTCTGTCCTGCAATGAGTTGTGTTTTTGTTTTGCTTTAAAAAGTCATCTACTTATGGCAGAGTGTTGCTGAAAGAACAAATTTGATACCACTTTTAACTAGTTCCTGCTTATAACAATCTGGGTTGAGTAGAGCCCTTCCTTGCTGTAGGCTGATAAGTGATTTCCTTGTGTTTGCCAGTTGCAAGATTTGTGCCTTCTCAGCTAAATGATGTCTTTTTGCATGTGTGCACTTTTAAATCGCAAACACTGGCAGTTAGAGTGACCTTTGAATGCCTTTCTTAGGTACTAGAATATTGTTTTTCAATTTATTGAGTTAGCAAATATGAGTCTGATGAAGATCCTTGAACTTGGTTGATTAAAATAAATGAAATGAAAGAGACTTGGTCTATGAAAATTTCTCCTTTACTGCAGTGAAAATGGGAAAGGACCGGGAGGTACCTATTGGAGCCATTAACTTTAAGCTTTACCTTTTGTATCTAAATCCACTGAATTATTATTGCTGGCAAGTGGAAAAAAAAAAGATAACTGAAAACTGGTTAGTTCAGTTCTGGGTTATCACAGGAGATGAGTCTGTTCAGGTGGACACTGGCTCCCTCTAGCCCCGTGTCTGCTACTTGTCTCACACTGCTCCTTGTGGCTTCAGAAGTAAAGGGTGTACTTGGCTGGTGAAATCCAATTACTGTGATTCAGTACTTTGTTGTAGGAGTGTTTAACAAATAATAGCTTATGGTAAAAAGCCTTATTAAAATTTATAGAATAATAATGAACTAAAATCCAGCAACCACTATTAAGTTGCTTTCCTCAAACTTTAATCTTCATCCATAGATAGAATTACATAAAGATCTACCTCCAGAAAATAACCCTTATGACGTTCTCATTTTGATCGCTTCCTCCTCTCCAGTTCTCCCTCTTCACGGCTGTCCATAAGCACTACAGCGTCAAGCATTGGAAAGAGTTTGCTGCTCAGAATCCTGACTGTCTTGAGGTAATACTGGGTTTATCTGGCTCCCTTTTTTATCTCAGCCTTATGAGAGTCTCATTATGGCTTCTTGGGGACCAGGTCTCACCTCTCTAACCCCACCAGCTGTTTAGCAGGCTTAATGTCTCCCATACCAATGGCCCTTTCTCCCTACAGCATCTGGCTGCCAGCTCAGGCACAGGCTCTTCTGATTTTGAGCAGCTGGAACAGATCCTGGAAGCTATCCCCCAGGTGAAATATATCTGCCTTGATGTGGCAAATGGCTACTCAGAACACTTTGTTGAATTTGTAAAGGATGTTCGGAAGCGTTTCCCTGAACACACCATCATGGTATGTTTCTAGTACTTTCTAGTTGCTATATTCTTGACTTATTTCCGCTCTTTGTTGCTACTCCATTGTGTTCTGTCAGTTCATTTCTCCTTAGCTGCATTATACTCCAACCAGTCATATCACTAAGAGTCTATGGTTTTGCATTTAAAAGGCCCATTTATTGTCAGTGCAGAATCTGTGATCCCTCTGTAAATCTAGTGCCTTAAACATGACTTACCTTGATGGAACACTTATGCACTGTACACTCTTGTAGAGACATCCATCCAGCGAAATGAGTACATATTCTCCAAGGCCTCTTTGTTTTGATCAGTTCATGGAATGATCGATCATAAGACATTTTTTCTTAATGCTGAAAGGTCTCTCATTCTGTCCATCAAAATGCAAATACGTTGAAAAGGTGGGAATGCATTATTTAGCTTGCATTGCTGACTTTTCCACTCTTCTTTGAAGCCAAAGAGTCTATAACAGAATAGCTTAAGGACAGGATATGTTTAGGTCTGATGGCTAAGAGTTAAATTTACTTTAAATCAGATCTTTTTGCTTGATCCAATATTTCCTTTAATATCACTGAAAGCTTGTTTCCCTGTTAATGACAGCATCTGTTGCCTGAGGGTAGTAAAGTACATCCTGGACCTGGGCTTTATCCTTGAGTAACAATGACACTGTCCTCTCACCCTTCTTCGGTAATGGTGCAGAGAGAATAGGGTTATTAGGATCCTTGGACCCAGTTAAGGACCCATCAAAGGGTCCTAAATATAATGTTGGACAAGCATAGTCCAGATATCATAGAAGAACATACAGCTTCCTATTTGAGTCTAAGATTGTTGTTTTGATTGATCTTAGGCGGGGAATGTGGTGACAGGAGAGATGGTGGAAGAGCTGATCCTCTCTGGGGCTGACATCATCAAAGTGGGTATTGGGCCAGGTAAGGTAGTTTTTATTATGGTGCCTTCAGTGGCAAGCAACTATGAAGCACCTGTCCCATTCTTGTCACATTCTTCTCAGGCTCTGTGTGTACCACACGGAAGAAAACTGGAGTAGGGTATCCACAGCTCAGTGCAGTGATGGAGTGTGCAGATGCTGCCCATGGCCTCAAAGGTCATATCATTTCAGTAAGGTCCAAGGCAGGGTGGGATATGAGCATTTTCTGCTGGGTATGGTATTTAGAGGTGGATCAGGACTCCTGGGTTCCTGCTAGCCTTGAGGTGGGGGCTCATGGGATGCTGCTGAGAGGGGTGGACTATCCACTGCTGTCCTCTCAGTATGCTCCTCCCTTTGCAGGATGGAGGTTGCAGCTGTCCTGGGGATGTGGCCAAGGCTTTTGGTAAGGTGGTTGGGAGGGAGGACATGGAAGGAAGTACTGTAGATGAGGTTAAGCCTTTTTAAGAGTAGGCTAGCACAGGTTTAGAAAGCCATTTAGATTGTTTCATAATACCAGTTAGTTACTCTCAAAGCAGCAGGGCAAATCCCGAGATAAAAACTCTGCAAGTGTGGGCGACATCTGCATTATCATCTATATGGTTGGACTGTGGATTCCGGAGGCCCGCTCAGGCCTACAGAATAAAACTTTGTGGAGTTGCAGGTTTGCATTTTTCACAGCTTCCTAGGTGATTCTTACTCAACACCAACTCAAGTTGGAGTCTTCTTCAGGGACACTTGAAGTACAAAGAAATGACCAGAAGATGGAAAAGCACCACAACAGAGATCAGAGGCTAGATAGGAAGTCTCCAGGGGTGCTTTGTAAATTCTTGGGGAAGATCAGGCTCACTAAAGCATGTAGGCCAAAGCTCAGGCAGCCTCTGCAGGTTTTGGACTAGTCAAGGAAAACAGAACCAGGAAGAGGCTTAAATCATTGAAGGAACTGAGCATTTGGTGTGAATTACTTCTGAGGGTGGGCATGTGGGCATCAGGGCCACATTCATTACTTCCTTCCCTCTTTAACACCAACAGGGGCAGGAGCTGACTTTGTGATGCTAGGTGGCATGCTGGCAGGACACAGTGAGTCAGGTGGAGAGCTCATCGAGCGAGATGGCAGAAGGTACAAGCTCTTCTATGGAATGAGTTCTGAAATGGCCATGAAGAAGTATGCAGGGGGTGTGGCTGAGTACAGGTATGTGTGGAGGCCCAGAAGCTGAGGGTTCTTGGAAAATGTGGATGCAGACAGATCTCATGTCTGCTGGGAGATTTTCCTTAGGGGAAAATGGCTAAATGCTACAGACTAAGATTTCTTGGTCCAAACTCCTCTATCTCTCCTATTTCCAGGGCCTCCGAGGGAAAGACAGTAGAGGTCCCCTTTAAAGGAGATGTGGAACACACGATCCGAGACATTCTTGGAGGAATCCGTTCTACATGTACCTATGTGGGAGCAGCCAAGCTGAAGGAGTTGAGCCGGAGAACCACTTTTATCCGTGTCACTCAGCAGGTGAATCCAATCTTCAGTGATGCAAGCTAGGCTCAGTGCCTCACCATGGGGCTTCCTTCCAATTACTTGGCTGTTTACACTTAGCCTTTTCCTGTCCTCTCACTCCTGAGGCTTCTAGCAGTAACTGCACTTCTTTGTTTACCCACAAAATATCAAAGGCACTTAACTGGGGATGAAGCAAGGAAGAAGACAGCTGGAGACAATGAAGTAAAATAATCAAATGGAATCTTGGGACCCAGCATCCTGAAGATTATTTTAAAAGGAAAAGACCCTGATGTGTTTTGTAGAACCTTGGTTTGAAAGAGGCTTTTTTACAATCATGTTTTCTTAATCAGCTCCATTAAATGAGACCGTTAACTATGTAACAGGCTCAAAAGCAGTGTGTGTGTATTTTAAATACTCCAGCAGTCCCTGCCAAGTGGATTGACAGTGATTGGCTCAACTGTGTCAGAGACTGTGAGGATGGCACAAGACAGGTCAGGGGTCAGATCTGTTGTCCACAGAGTTGCTGAGTTGTAGTTGACTCGATGGCACCTATAATTACAGTAAACAGAAAACTAATGATTTAAGAGATGCTAGGGCGTTCTGTAAGAAAGTCCTGCTAGGCTGCTCCAGGTCGAGGGGAGATGAAACTGACACCATCTGCTCTGTGGGGTGAAGGACAGTACATACACATTTCCCCCCATTAATTATCTCCACTGAAATGCCACCATCCCTGATATCCTGGCAACAAAAACATTTACATTCATTAAAATTAATAATAAATTTACAAAAGTTTATTTTGACATACAGGTTTTCAGAATAACAAAAGGTCATTTCCAGGCTCTCATTTTCAACCTTGGTAGCCCTTCTGGGCCCATGTTAACAGCACTTTTCAAGGGAGGTAAAAAGCAAAGGAACTATTCCAGCCCTGAAAAGGTCAGTTTTGTTTTCTAGGAATAGTCTACTCTGACCTTTTTGAAGGCCCAAGTACCGCCCCCTCACATCAAGACAATGTTTCAACAAATCCAGAATTTAATTATAAACCAGATTTGGCAATTTCATCACGTAACTCAATCCTGGGTTTTACTTCATTCCCACTAAACTGCTTATATAGCTGAGGATGGAGGGGACAATACAGATGGCGGTCTGGTCCTATCATTACTACTGAGAGCTGTCTTTATAGTTTTGGGAAGGGACAGGCATGCCACTGAGTTCAGAAAGAGGGAGATATTCACAGAAGGTGGGGATCAGAGTGTCAAACTTCGTCTTCTGATAGTTCCCCAGAGACTCCTGCAGAGAAGGCAGCAGGGAGAGAGCCTATCACCACCCTAACCCAGTGCCGGAGCCTGTGGATTTCTCAGTCTTGTTCTGCCCATCCCCTTCTATTGTTCTCCTTCCTACTCACCCTCCCTTCCTTCTGGTCATTATCTTCATCATCAGAGTCCAAAACCACATCCCCTATGGTAATGACAGGACTGCACAGGGGTGAACTAGCTGTCGGAGGGAAAGGAGAGTCAGACTCATAGGTGAACACAGACCCAAAGGATCTCCAAGAGAAGCGGCCATCTGACCAGATTTAATTCAGGATACCTACCAGGCTTCCTGGTTCTGGGAGGAGATAATGACAATCTAAGAGGATCCAGGGTACAAGCCAGGCAATTCCTGAAGTGAGAGCAAGTAAAAGATAAAAGTGAAGGCAAAAGAGGCAAGCAACCTGCTCCTAGTAGGGTGATGTAATGGTTCTACTTACTCCTTTTGTTCAGAGGCAGGTGAGTCAACTTCAGCATTTTCCTTTAGCACCTTTTCCGCCAGGGTCTGGGATGGGCTTTTGGGTTTTCCTGCAGAGTCTGCCTCTGTGCTCACAGCACCTGCTAGATCTTTTTTGTGTGCCCCATGTTGTCTTCTATTCTCAGACTTAGATATAACCTGGGTTGATGAGCCTAGATTCCTGAAGGGGAACAACATGACGGTGGGGCGCTCCTTTTGGCTCCCTCTAATGGATGACCATCGTGATGGAATTCTTCGCTGGCCTATAGGGGCCAGATTGAAATGATGGCCAGCCAAGGATTCTGAATCCTTCCTTGAGGCTGCTTTCTGAGATATGTATGAACCTTTGGCTTTTGACAAAGGACTGCAAAGTGCTGGTCTTGGTTGCTGAGGAGACTTCGGCTCTATAGGCTGAGTCACGGTCACTGAATGGGTAGCAGTGCGCACTGGACGAGGAGGTGAGGCTCCTTCTAAAGAGAACAACAAACAGCAACGCATCAACTCACCCTGGCTTCTTTCACCTCTGTCACATGTAGCTATTCGCTGTCCCAAAACGTCTCAGGCTAACCAACACTTCCTCAAATTCCTATTTCTCCTAAGTGGTTCTGGTACCTGAAAGTGGCCACTGCATGTCTGCACCATACTGGCTCAAGGCAAAAGAAGAGGCAATGGAAACACCAGGCTGCATCCAACTTAGGACATCCTGAAACTGTAGACAGAAGTCTGAGGCTCATAGTCCTTGATACTGTCAGCCCTCTAAACGCAGGTTTTGCCTCAAACCAACCTGTTGCACCTGTAGTCTGGGAAGTGCTTTTTCCAGCTGACACAAGTACTCAAAAAACAGCTTTTCCATGGCAGCCAGAAAGGGTTCTCCATACTCTTGTTCAAGTTCCTGCAGGAAAAAAAAAAAATGGTTAGAAGCAAACTAGAGAAAAAAGAGCAACAAGGTAAGATTCCAAACCATTCAGTCTCACCTGCAACTTTGAGGTCATATCCACGGGGTCCTCTGCCAGCTCCTTAATCTGCTGGCAAAAGGTTTCCTGTGCTTCCAAGATCTTTTTCCAGTCTTTTTCAGTCTGTCGAGGGTAAGGAAGGCAGAGAAATTAGGGGACATCAGGGTCCAGTGGCAGGAAGGAGGGGCAATTTTGTAGAATCAAGTGTAGCTGAAATTAAGAGTTTATCTCGTGTTGGAATTTCTTACCACTTTTGGGTTCTGCACTTTATGTCCACACTCTGGGAAGTAGTCATTCAGGGTATTCAGGACCTGGGTCCATGGCCGACCCTGCAGGATCAACGTGACCACCACCTGTGAAGGAATGAACGGTAACGAGCTCAGAATCCCCACTTCGAGGAGGCCGGGCTTTTTCAACGGATCCTACTCCAAAGCTGTCCCGCGTCAGATCCTCGCGTTGCCCACCTCCTCTTCCTCCCCTCCCCACGCAATGGTTCTACTGGCTCCAGTACCTTGGCCCGTATGCCCAAACACAGGCGTTCATGATGCCGGTAGCGGACCAAGCCAGGGGCAGCAGAGCGCAGAGACTGCAGAAACTCCAGTACCCGTGGAAACAGCTCCACGCTGCGTCCCCGCACAACTTGCCAGGTGGCTGCAGCAGCGAAACGCAGAGCAGCAGGACCTACTCCTGGGGGTGTGGCCATGGACGGCGAGCCCCGCCTCCGAAGCAGTCGTTCTGGGATCTACCAAAGAGAGGCTCCTTGCTTCTTCAGTGACGCCGGCATTAAGACGTACGCGGGGTCCTTGGGGATCATACTGGGCTCCCTGCCAGGTGCCACCGGAATTCTGGGGGTCTTCTAATATTTGCTAGAGCCAGAAAGGAGAAGCTGGCCGTCCCGGGACACCAAGTCCCTCTGCTTTAAATATCTGCCGTTCTCACTAAATCGAGGACTACCTCACTTCCGGCTCTGCAGCTAGTTTCCTTGTCCCGGAAAAGGGCGGGAACAGAGAATTTATGGGCCGCCAGACAGAGGCAAATGTGACGTAGTGACGTAAGGCCACTCCCCCTGCTGGTCCTGTTCTCTACCCGCCTTCTGGTCCACCAGTGATACTTCCTGGGATGGTGACTGCTTGGGGTCCTGAAATCGACCTTCTGGCCTCTTAATTTCTTCACAGAGCCTTCAGACGGGTCACGTTACTCCTCTGAGGCTTAACCTCACATTCTATGAAGAGGGGGTCCTCACCTTTCTCCATGGTCTTCAGTCTTTAAATATGAGTCTACAAACAGGCAGTCCCAACCATGGCGCTCCTCTTCCAATAAATAAAGCTGTTCTTTTACCAAACAGAAGAGGGCAGCCTCTAAAAAATAATGTAATAAGGCCGAGAAACTACAACAGATTGTTGGCTTAGTTTTCGCTGCTTGATTGTACTATAATTCTTTGTGCTTTTTTTTTTTAGTATGCAATTTTAACATCACAAAACCAAAAAGTTTTCTTTTTAAAAATTTTTTCATACATTTACGAGTGTAACTGATTTTACTTGTCTCTCCTGATTCTCTCTGGTGTTTCTTCATCATCAAGGACATAACTGGTACAGAATATATTGTTGTTAAGAGCCGTAGAGTCTCTTGGGATTCATAGCGACGCTATGTATGTACAATAGCCCTGAAACCGGCTCTATCCTATACCAACCTTTTTGTTTCTGACACACCTACCCTCGTTACTGAATCAATGGATAGCTAAACAAAATACTTTTAAAAAACTAGTTGAATTAATAACTTGCTCTGTCGCCTTATTAGTTAGTTGCCCTGTTGTTGTTATGTGCCCATTCGGAACCAACTCAAAGCTGACCCTCCAGACTCTAGTTGACCCCCCAACAGGTTTTCACAGTTAATCGGCAGAGGAGGAAATTACCCATCCTCTTACCGTGCAGCTGGTGGATTCTGCGTGCCTTTGGGATTGCGGCACAGCTTTTTACCACTATGCCACCAGAGCTGCCAGGTGTCCTGTTGTTGTGTGCCATGGAGTCGCTTCTGAATCATAGCAACCCTATGCACAGTAGCTCTAAACCCTGTCCTATCTTGAGCCAGTCTCACTGCCTCTGACACACTTAGCCCTATCACCCCATTTACAGTGTCAGTTGATCTCCTCCAGGGTCTTCCTATCTTGTGCTATCCCTCCGTCCTTCTAAGCATGATAACCTCCAAGGACTAGTCCCTCCTGGCAACATGCCTAAAGTATGTCAGACGAACCTCAAAATCCTTGCCTTCAAGGAGCAACTAGGTTTTACCCTCTTCAGGACAAACGTGTTTGTTTTTTTGGAAGTCCATGGTATATTCAATACTCTTCTTCAGCACCACAAGTCAAAGGCATTGGTTCTTTTTCCATCATCCTTAGTCATTGTCCAGCTCTCTGATACATAGCAAGTACCTGCAAAAACCGTGGCGTGGATCAAGCGCACTTTAGTCTCTAGACTGACATTGTCACTCTTAAACACTCTGGAGAGGTTCCTGATGGTTGATTTTCCAAATGTAGTTTTTTTATTTCCTGACTGCTGGTACTGAGATTGTTGATTGTGGAACCAAGCAAGCCGAAATTGTTAAAAATCTTTTTTCCAGCTATCATGATGCTGCCAAAGAATGTGAGAAAGAATTTTTGCTTGATGTTGAGTTTCAATCCATATCGAAGACTGCAGTCCTTGATCTTTTTGCAGCAAATGCCTCAGGTCTCTTCAGTTTCGGCAAGCAAGGTTATGTTATCTGCATGACACAGGTTGTTGAGTCTTTCTCCAATCTTGATGCCACATTTCTCCTCATAAAGTCCAGCCTTTCCAATGATCTGTTCTGCATAAAGATTGAAAGATACGGAGCCACATCCCTGATACATTCACTTTCTGATTTTGAACCATGCAGTGTTTTCTTGCTCTGTTCTGATGATTGCTTCCTGATTCAGATATAGGTTTTGCATGAGCACAATCAGGTATTCTGGGATTCCCATTTTTCTCATGTTAGCCATGTTGTTGTTGTTGTTGTTTGGTGCAGTTGAGTCATAGACGACTCCTAGCGACCCTATGAATGAACGGCCTGAGCACTGTTTGTACATAGAGTTTCCAGAGGCAAGCCATTTTTGAAGTGGATGCCACTCCTGCTTCCAGGCTTGTTTTAGTCAGGAAGCTCCAGCCAACACTGTCCGCCGTGGGTACCCATTACCACAATTGGCACATCACTGTCACAGTGTTCAGCATCACAGCAACCATGAGTTACCTCTGTACAGCAATGCACAGACCAGTGCTATACCACCTGGAAGAATGTTTGACAGGAAAACAATTTGAACCTGGCTGAGGGCCACACATGAAAATCACCTACCTTCAGCTTGGTAGCATAACTTCCTTTCCACTAGGCCAACGTAGCTCTCTCTTTGTCGTTGTCGTTGTTGTTGTTTGGTGCTGTCGAGTCGTAGACGACTCATAGCGACCCTATGAACTAACGGCATGAGCACTGTTCGTACATAGAGTTTCTGGAGGCAAGCCATTTCTAAGTGGATGCTGCTCCTGCTTCCAGACTTGTTTTAGTAGGGAAGCTCCAGCCAACACTGTCCACCAATAGTTTGTTCTAATCTACACAAATGCTTTTGCATAGTCAAAGAAGCACAGATAGTCCTTTGGTATTCTTTGCTTTCAGCCAAGATTCAGCTGACATTGGCTATAATGTACCTAGTGTGACAAATTCTTATAAACCTAGCTTGTATTTCCACTAGTTTTCTGTCAATATACTGTTCCAGTCATTCTGGATAATTTTCAGCAGAATTCTGCTTGTGTGTGATATTAGTGATATTGTTTAATAATTTTTGCACTCTTTTGGATCCCCCTTATTTTGGAATGGGGATAAATATTGATGTCTTCTAATCAGTTGTCCACTGATTTTTTTGCACAATCTAGTAAGCTCATCCAGGGCAGCACATATTTGCTGAAATATGCTAATTGGTAGTCCATCAATTCCTGGGGCCTGTTGTTGTTAAGTGCTGTCGAGTCGTAGACCACTCATAGTGACTCTGAATGAAAGACCTGAACACTTGTATAACTTTCATTGTTTCTCCAAGTTCATAGAGTTTCTGGAGACAAGCTGTTTCAGAAGTGGATGCCACTCCTGCTTCCAAGCTTCTTTTAATCAGGGAGCTCGACAAAGCACTGTCCACCATCAGTAACCATTTTATCACATTTGACACATCAGTGTCATAGTGTTTAGCATCACAGCGATCACAAGTTATCTCTGAACAGCTTATGGACAGACCAGTGCTATACCACTTAGAAGAATGTTTGACCAAAACAATTAAAACCAGGTTTGAGGGCCACAGATTAAAATCAATCACCTTGGCTTGGTAGTATCTCTTTCTATCCACTAGGCCAACAGAGCTCTTTCATTGTTGTTACTGTCCTGGAGCCTTATTTATTTTTTAAAGTTGTTTTTGTTGTTGTTATGTGCCATTGAGTAGCTTGCAACTCATAGCAACCCTATATACAACAGCCCTAAACCCTGCTCTATCCTGTGTCAACCTGTCTCTGACACACTTGCCCACATTACCCCAGTGACTGAATCAATCTGTCTCATCGAGGGTCTTCCTTTCTTGTGTTATCCCTCCACCTTCCCAAGAATGATGTCGCTCTCCCTCCTTACAGTATGTCCAACGTAGGTCAGATGAAGCTTCAGAATCCTTGCCTCCAAGGAGCAGCCTGATCTCACCCTCTTGAGGATGAACCTGTTTGTTCTCTTAGCAGTCCTTGGTATATTTAAGACTCTTCTCCAACATCACAGCTCAAAGGAATCAAGTCTCCTTCTATCATCCCTAGTCATTGTTCAGCTTTCTGACACATAGCAAGTAATTGCAAAGACTATGGCATAGATCAGACATACCTTCGTCTTCAGACTGACATCGTTGCTCTTCCATACTCTAGAGAGGTCCCTGACAGCAGACTTTCCCAATGCAATTTGTTTTTTAAGTTCCTGGCTGCTAGTACCAAGAGTGTTGTGGGAACAAGCAAACTGAAGCTGTTAACAATCTCAATCTCTTCACTATCATGATGCTTCCAGTTAGCCCAGTGGTGAGAATTTTTGTTTTTCTGATGTTGAGCTTCAGTCCTTATTGAAGGCTACAGTCCTTGACCTTCTGTAGCAAATGCCTCAGGCCCTGCTAAATTTCAGCAAGCAAGATTGTGTTATCTGCATAATGGAGATTGTTAATGAGTCTTCCTCCAGTCCTCATCCCACATTCCTTCTCATAGAGCCCAGCCTCCCAGGTGATCTGTTTCACCATAGATATTCAAAAGGCATGGAGATAGGATAAATCCTTAGCATATACCTTTCTTGGTTTTAAACCATGTAGTGCTTCTTTGCTCTGTTCTGATGACTGTCTCCTGGTCCAAATTTAGATTTCATATAAGAACAACCAAGTGTTTTGGAGTTCCCATTCTTCTCAGAGTTAGCCACAGTTTGTTGTGATCCACACAGTCAAATGCCTTTGCATATTCAATGAAACACAGATAGATATTCCTATGGTACTCTCTGCTTTCAGCCAAGATCCATTTAACATTAACTATAATATTCCTACTGCCACAGCCTCTTCTAAACACAGCCTGCACATCTGGAAGTTCTCTGTTGATGTGCTGCTCCAGTCATTTTTTGATAATTTTTAGCAGAATCTTGCTTGCA